CGACGCTTCTTTCACTGAGGGACAGGCCTCCCCTCACTTGTCCCAGCGTACCCTAACGTGTCAAATTGCCTAGAAACAACATTTGGAATGGCCGTTTTAGGGACTGCATCAAGAATAATGCCTGTCGAAACGAAGGGCGCCAAAATTGAACTCTCTCCTTTATACCCATCTCGTGGCGTTCACAGAGAGATATCCTTCGAATAGATAGGCCAGGCAACTACCAGAATACAAAACCCTTTAAAGGAATCCGATGATAATCTCCAATATGTACGAAAATTTGGCGAAACCCCTCCACTTTTGCAAGCAATAGGCAAAAACTAATTCCCTATTCCCTCCATCAACAAGTGAACATAAGTATGAAGGAACCTCAAATAACTATGCGATATGGATCATTTATCCCTGAAAAATAATAGTCCAAAGCAATGCCACAATCATACCCAAACTGTTGAGGCACTATTAGAGGGTATTCGTCGCCAAAACGTGTAACTCAAAAAGCACAGCCAACAACCCCGGAGTAATCATTGTCAAAAACAGTAACTCCGAATCTGAAAAGTTTCTGTGACCTTGTAACAACCACCCATTATGCTCAAAATACATAGGCATAATCAAGAAACCTGACAACTTCATAGCATGCAGACGAGAAATAAAATCCTCACAACAGTCAATGCAAAAACACACACCAATCGGAGAAAGCCCCACCCAGCGTAAACCTCACACGAACTGATCGATACCACTAAAATCACGATGAATAGGAGCATACCTCCTAAACCTCTCATATAGAAACAACTGAAGAAATGTGGTCGACGCATTAGAAGACATAGGATATCGACAACCTAACCATGCAGAATCATCTATAAGCATATCCAGTTGATGATACAAAGTCCTTAAAAAGAGTGGTGCAAGGGAACTATCATTCCTTGCGCTAGCTTCACTGCCAGGACCACCAAACACGACAAAGGAGCATCCTTTGGAGTTCCCTCAAGCACGTCTCGACAACCAGCAAAGTAGATATGCTGCCAAGCAAGAAGGACGGCCAAAAAGAGGGCCAGCTACCTCTCATCTACCCTCCTTGGGAAGACCCTCCTGCGCAAGCTCAATGTCTTCTAAAAAAATAATGTACCCACCACGCACCTATGGTACTCTTCTTTGCGCCCTCAGCCCAAATAGCATATCTAGCCCCCTTGGGACCAAAAAGAGAGCCAAATGTCTTTGTTTTCTCAAGAGCATTGAACAACACACCTGATGACACGGGTTCTATCAGTTTAGCTCAAGAGTGAGACTAACTGAAGAGGTCTCAACTGAGACTGTAGCCAGTCACAATCAAGACCGCAACGGTCAGAATCTTGAGATAAGACCTAGAAGGGGGGTGAATAGGTCGGTTCCCAATTTTTGCTTAAGTTTTGACTTTGTTTATAAATTCACTCAAACTTTTATCTTTTAAATGCGGAAGATAATATATCAGAAATATATTAATTCAATGGTAAGTCGGTGAATCTAGACAGCCTTTGTATTCAGTTACTTGTTCAGTAATAGACCTTTAAATAAACAAATAAACTATTTATTTAAATAAAGAAATAATTCTGATTTAAACAAACAAATAAATAAACTTATTCAACCAGCCCTTAGTTGATTTTAACTTTGGTAAGTATTTATTCATGAAGTGCTAAATCTGTTTTCAATTGATTTTAATCATTATTTTTTTTTTGATAAGTAATTGATTTTAATCATTATGCACATGTATCTGATGATATATAAGCAATTAATATGTGTAGTAAAGCAAATAGAGATAGAGATTTTACTTTTCAGTATTTATATTTATGAATGTGGATGGTTAATTAATCAGATAATTTAATCAATCATAAATTGAACAAGTTGACCTAATAATCAGATCTAGGTCATTAAAAGAGTTAACCATGATTAAATTCAACTAATAGCTTCTGTACCCCGCGTTAACACTATTTCACAAAAAGTTGATTGATGTACTTTTGATATCTTTTATAATAGAATTTCATAAGCAATGAACAAATGTATATAACCTTATTCTTTTGTTAGCTTCAAGAGAAGCCTTGTAATCATGGACATGGAGGCTTTATTATTTTGTAAACTTATTCTTTTGGAGGAAGTATATAATGGATTATAGAGATTTCCGACCTTTAAATGATGAATCAATGAGTTATTTTGGTGATCAAATACGTTGTTGTTGAATTAAATGATGTGCATGGACTTATATTTGATGTTTGAGCAATTTAAATTGCATCTATATAAGTTTAAGAGGTGATCTAATCGATCACTTCATTTCTTGGCATCATCTAACCAATTAGATGGGTCCTCAGATTTGCATGCTCTTTGGATTAAGCCATCTAACCAGTTAGATGAAATCATGTAACTGGTTAAATGAGCTAGTATTTGCACTTTGAGCCCAAATTTTAGTTTAATTACCTAATTACCCCGGACATCATCTAAAGCACATAATAGCCACAATAAATGACAGTTTTACCCTTTATGGGTTTTGAAGCCATAATAAATGTACCAAATGACTATTTTACCCCCTTTTGGGTTCTAAATCATTATTGACTATGCTAAATGATCGTTATGCCCTTATGGACCCTAGAACTATTATAATGATGTGAAATGACTATGGTACCCTTACGTATCATCGGGTTTGGGTAAAGACCTAGATAGCGTTTCAGACCTTCCGGTTTGGGTCATTACGGATTTGGTATCAGAGTCATGGTTCGAAAACCATTAGGATGACGGGCAGTGGCTTGCCTAAAAGGGGTTGAAGGTTGAATTGTTTTGACTTCGCGTTACGTGCTAAAGTGTTTAATGTTTTTAAAAGCATGCTTACTTGCTATGTGCTTACATGCTTAGGTTTATGCGTTTTTGTGTTTGATGTTAAAGTATTTGTTGCATGGCCATATATATGAGGCAATTATGTAATTTAACCATGTATGCTAGGTGTTTTGGTATTGTAATCTATTTCCAGCATGTTAAATGCGAAAGTGTTTATCATTTCATCGAGTGAGTTGTATGAGGACATCATTTCGGACTAATTTTATAGTTTTCTCGTTGTTGAACCGCTTTTTCATTTTATAGCGTCATGCCACCAAGAAGGGATACCAGAGAAAGTTCTAGCTCTAATCCCGTGGAGCGGGTTGAGGAGCAAATTAAGAAAGATATGCTTTTGCGTGATTTGGTCCCATCTAGAGAGGTACAAGCTAGGAGGAATGCAAAACCGCATATTTTAGTGGGCGAGGACCAAGTTAGGCCACGGTCTTACAGGAAGTTCTTTGAGTCACTATGGTGTCTTCATCACAAGTTGTTCCGTAACCGGTACCACAACCGAAAAAGAGTGAGTCGGAGAAGACTCTCGACTTCATTTTTAGGTTCATCAAGTTGATGCCTACCTTGTTTGAGGGTGGTCTGGATCCGCTTGTGGTGGATAATTTCATTAATAGGGTGGAGAAGCATTTTAGTGCTATGGAGCTACTGTTGGATTGGTTACAGATCGTGTTGGCTACATATAATTTCACGAGAGACGTGGAGATTTGGTGGAAGACCATTTCTCACAAGCATAATGTGAGCACCATGAGTTATGATATATTCAAGAAGCTCTATTATGAAAAGTACTTTCCGACTCTCAAGAAGAGAGAATTGAGGACAAAGTTTGCTAATCTTAGGCAAGGAAGCATGTCCATCACTGAAAGTATGGTATAATCTGCATTTTTGGTAATTCCGACGGTGCCTGGGTTCGGAAGTGGTGGCGCGTGGTTATGAGGGAACGGTTGGGTGTTTGGATCGATGAGGGTTCGAACATGTCTTGCCATAGGAGAGTGGAGGAATCTAATTTGGAGTTAGATTCTTCAAGCGTCTGTTGAAACTCCTTAGTGGTGGTGTTGGTGTCAACGGAGAGGTCGATGGTGCCCCAATCGGCGCCGCAAAGGATGTTCGTCGGACACATGAAAGATGACGACTTTGTCGAGGCAGGGGTAATTGTTGACCACCCACTTCAGGGTGTAGGGCCTCTCATTGCTCAAGTCGGTGGCAGTCGCAATCTTGCTATGGTGAATTTCTGACACCTCTTTTCGGTATATATACTCTTTCCCTCTGCTTTCCTTTTGTTTTGTCCCCAGATTCTTCCTCTAAATATATATATATATATATATATATATATATATATATATATATGGGTTTCAATAAATTTGATATGCAAATTAAATTGAAAGCTCAAAGACCAGTTTTTGAAGTGAATGTTATGGCGGAGAAATTTGCCATTATTGGTGGTTGTGGTGGTGTTTGGTTTGCCATGGCCATTTCTATGTTCTTTTTTTTTTTTCTTGCGATTGTGGTGGTTTTTTTTTTTTTTTTTTTTTTTTGGTTGTGGTTGGTGTCTGGTATGGTGGTGATTGTGGTGGTGGTAGGAGATTACAGAGAGAGGGAAAATAGGGAGGGCATTTTTTCTCTCTACCTCCACCACCGCACACCTGTTGGTGGTGGTGGTGGTGGTAGGACTGTGGTGGTGGTGGTGCTTGATTTATTAGTATGAGAATATATTAATTTTTAAGGGTATTTAAGTCAATCAAAAAGGATTGTTTTGAGTAAATTGATAATTTAATGTATCAATTGGTAATAAGGTCAATTCACCATTGTCAGAGTGCCTTTGTTAATTTTATCAAATCTATAAGGGTGTCATTATTCAAAAACTGCTCAACTTGTAGATGGCAAGCATCACGGGTATCATTGTACTTTACCCAAACTTTAACATCCAAAATATCTTTCCTTCTGTAGAGATCCCAAATTCGTTCTTCGTCTTCTCCAACCCTATTTCCAAATATCAAAAGCAGCAAAAAGGAGGAGATGGAGGGTGAGGGCTTCAGTACTAAGTAACATTCAATAAGACTAGGCTATGGCAATAAACGTATGGTATATCCTTGGCTTGGTGTCCAAAATTTCAAGGCAACCATCCCCCTTTTTTTTAAGTCAATGGAGTTGGAGCTTAATTTGTAGCCTACTCAAAGGACCTCAACTTTCCAATAATCGAATAGAATTGCAGAATACAAAAATCCTTTATTGGCTTACCATTTGACATCATTTGAACAATAAACTGGAACAGTAATTTCTGGATAATCAATAAGCCATCCACCGGAAAACAACATACATAGACAGTCCACTAAAATAAAGTTAAAACTTAGCAGCAGCAAAACACCATATTGCTATTTTTTCAACTTCAGAATAGCAGTAGCTGTTTCGTATTGTTTAGCCAACTCCAGCTCAATTTTAGCCAACTGCAGCTGGAACTTTAGTTCGTTACCTGAAAAAGATAAAAAGGATGGTAAGAGCGTGAAAACCAATCTCCTTTTTTTCCTTCATTTTTTTGATAAGGTGACGATCAACTTCTTCATCAATCTGTCTATAAATTACCACTTTAATCATCTTAGTTTACTGCCTTTCTTGAGCATTTTTTTCTTTTTTTCTTCAACCACTCTCATTGACCTAATGAATCAATTATCCTAATTTTGTATCAAAAATAATTACTGCCAGGTATTTGGCGAAGAAGAGCACAAAAGACAACAATACCATCATCATCATCATTATCATAATTATTATTATTACTACTATTGTTACTAAAATTATATTACTACTATTATAATTATTTAGGTGAGTAACCTTTTTTTATCGAAATATTAATGAGAAAGTGGACAAACATAAGGGGATATAATGCCTTGTGATAAAAGAAGAAATGTTTTCAATAGGCTAAAAGCAACAAAAACCATAAAGGTTCAACAATAAAAGGAATAAGCAGGCAGCAGATAGCAGAACTGTTTGAATTCACTCCTTTTCAATGTTTAATTTTCTGTCAATACAAACAAAACTAGCATTCATCTGTCAAAACAATAAATGAATGCACATAATTATTACTAAGAAAACTAGACTTCATCTCCCCATGACAATAAATTAATGCAAACAATTATTGCACAGGCTAGGCTTTAGCAATTGGCAACAACAACACATAAAATTCACCAAGTTTTTATTTATTTATTTTGGGTGAATGGACTTTGCATTCAACTAGATACCCAAAAATAAATATATGTAAGCAACAGAAGCAAAACAGCCATAACATGCACAAGCACCCTAACAAAATTACAACCAGCAGTAAGCAGAAAATATAGCAATAGAGCAATCTGAATAGTTAGAAATAATAAGAAACTACGTCTTGGACCCTAGGCATGAGGAGCGTTATTGAGGTTCTACTATACTTGTATAACCAGATCTCAGCATACGCACTTGATTCTCACCAACATATATGCGCACTTGATCCCATTGTACCCTGGCGCAAGTCTTGATCTTTTATTGTAGAATGGCACGTCTATCACATCACTAGAGCTTCTTACATCAGCTTTTTATTTCAATGTTAACCTATATGGCTTACCTCCATCAACCTCACTGACTCATAGATTTTAGCCTCCACTGCTTATTTCCAATTAGTCCATGTGACCTCTTATACTTACCCTCCACAATTTACCTCAATAAGCCTCCTTTGCTCGTCACTGTGAATTATCACCATCAATCTCCATGGATTCCACAGTCTACCTTGTCTTTCCCGATGGCACTAAAGTCCAAACTCTGTGACAGTTTTACACTGGTCATATATGGCTTTATAAGCAGGAGATAGTTACGTCTTTGCCTAAGGTACAGTCACATCTCCAAGCATGCAATAATGCTCAAATGCAGTTCATGAATTCCAAAACAACCTAGCAACTAGCAACTCTTAAAAATATTACCATGCACTTGACACAATTTGGACCAAACACTTCCATTAGAAAAAGAGACTGAAAGTTGATATAGGTCCACCCCTTCTCACTTAGACATTAATATGCAGTAACATATTTATGTCAAACATCGACGGCACTGCAAGAGACATCACGGAAGATATGAATATCAAGTCACATCTCCCTTACATCTGACGTGCACCTAGCCATAGTGGTCATTTAGTTGTGCATTGTAACTACATTTCGGCAAATGAACAAGGCTCTTCCTCTTTCTGTGTGTGTTTGTGTGTGTATCCCTCCTAATACGATTTTAACAATTTCAACATACCCAAACTCCTAATGCAAAGTTTTCATGTAATTTGGTTAAACCATCATCAGCATCTTGTATGACATTAGCTATGTCGGGGAAAAGAGTATACAATGCCTTGAGCCAAGAACATAGTCCAAATTCCTCGTGCAGCGACAAGCTGCGGAGAAATATCATTTTAAACAGCCATAATATCATTTTAAACAGTAAAGCTCTCCTAAATTGCATTTTCTAACTGATGGAACAAAAGAGAAAACTTAAAAGACATAAACATGTTTGCACTCCATTGTTTTCTGTTTCATATTTGAATGCAAGTTACACAAAAAGCACGGGCGCATGTGCACACATACACACACACACACAAAAGGATTAGGAATTCAGGATCTTCTCCATTACGATTTTCTCTGATACTCCGTAATGCTTAAACCCATGGTTTTGAACACAACAAATCTTTCATAAAACAACACATCTTTTGAGAAAATTAAAACAAAAGTTATTCAGCCCATGCGACATTTTTGAATCATATATTAAGCATCATCATCAACGGAGAGAGAAATTAATTTAGAGGATCTTGATACTAATAACGAAATGAAAAGAACAGTAAGACTCTATTCAGATTGAAGGATTTGAAATGAATGGGTTTATTTTCAATTATTTAAAAGATTGCAGCATAGATTTATTTAGATGATGAAATTAAGAAAGATGGAGAAGTTACTTTGACAAGTTATTAAATGAAAATCATTTGGGAAGATAAGGCTTAGAGAAATATAATAATCTAAAGGACAACATATTTTTTTCATAGGATCAAGGAGTGAGGTTAAACATGTAACCAAAAAAAAAAAAAAAAATTGAAATCAGGAAGGGCTTTAGGATCAGATTCATTCCTATCAAGGTTTGAAAGTGTTTAGGGAATGTCGATGTGTCTTAGCTAAATAAAATTGTTTAATATGATAATGGTAACTAAGAAAATGTCAGACGAGTGACAAAGTATTTTAATACCAATTTATAAAATAAAGAAGACTGAAAAAGTTTATTAATTATTGTTAGTATTAAATAAATGAGTAATGATATGAAACTTCGGGAGAGGGTGATTGAACAACGACTAAGACAAGAGACTGAACTGTTGAAAAATCAATTTGGAATTATGCTGGGGAGGTCAACAATGAAAGTCATTTAATTTTTGAGGAGACTAATTGAAATATATAAAGAGAAGAAGAAAGATCTTCATATGATTTTTATTGATTTACAAAAACCCTATGATAGATATCCGATATGGAAGGTTTTGCAATAGGAAGGAGTTTACATTGACACAATAAAGGATGTTTATGATGGATAACTGACTATAGTTACAACGACCGTAAGGTAAACAAGCGAACTTCAGTTACTGTTGGTTTTAATCAAGGGTTAACATTAAGCCCGAATGATTTTGCCTTAGTTATGATGAAATGACAGCACACCACATTCAGGATTAGATTTCACAGTGTATGTTTGTGGAGGGAAAAATCCCCACCAATGAGAACACGACAGCTGTGCAATTAAGGACTACTCTTCGTTTGACACGTGTCAAAGTTAACAGGCCCATCCTTGAATAGCACAGATCCAAGAATGTCCTGGAGGACATTTAGCCCAACCCCCAAGAAGAGAGAAGAATGTTCTGAAGGGTTCTTTCTTGTATATAAACGAAAGGACCAACCCCCAATAAGGGGGAAACACCGGCGCGGGGGGGGGTTGGGGGGGGTGGCCGTGTTTGTAAGGAAACTCTTCCTTTTCTGAAAATGGAAAATGGGTTGTAGGTATGAGTGATGGTCCCTGAAGCTTTGTTTGGCTGTAAATAAATGGCATTTCTTGTACCTACACTTTGCCGCTGTCTGTGGGAATCGAGAAAGGTTGCTTGCTCAGTTTATGGTACAGTTGCGATCAGGTACGATGACCAGATCAGAAAGCTCTTAGCGACTTGACGAGAACATATGGAGTCTGCGAGAAGAACTTCAGCAGCAGATTGAGGCCCTCCGTTGGGAGAACGTTGAGCTATGAGCAAGTGGAGGCGCCGCAGCCACCACCTCAACAGTTATAAGGCAGAGAGCTGCATAGTCTCTCCCGCCAGTCACAGGATCGAGCCGATTGAGAACTCCCAGAGAACAAAACGAGAATCTCAATCAGGGAAAATTGCCCGACAATAATTATGAAAAAAAAAAAAAAAAAATTGCCCGACAATCAAGCAGAAACCAGCTATCATGCCCCGCGGAGCTCATAGCAGACCAAGTGTTCGATAAATTCTTGAACCGGATCTGAAGGCCCAGGTCCAAAGGGAAGTGGAGGAACAAATGAAAAACTTGAAGACATAAATCCCGACAGACCTAGCTGCTCAAGTGTGGTCTCGCATTGTGGAATCACCCTTCACTAAGGAGATCCTCCAATCGGAGAAGTCTACGAAATTTTAGATGCCGATCTTCACGCCATTCGACGGAACCACGGATCAGTTGAAGCATGTCTATCTTATTCCGCAGAAAATGGCACTAGATAAGGGAGATAACGCCTTAATGTGCAAGGTCTTCACCATAATCCTGGTCGGACTGGCTCTCCTCTGATTCAGGCAGTTACCACCCGATTTAATCTCGAACTTCCAATAGTTGTGCGAACTGTTTATCACCCAATACTTCGGCAATCAAAGGATAAAGAAAATCGTGTCGAGCCCCTGCCCTATGAGGCAGCAGAAGGGAGAAAGGTTGCAGGCGTTCCTTACGAGGTTTAACCTAGAGATGAGCATGGTAGACCAATGCAATCAAACCGCGGCTGTGGAAGCTTTCAAGGTGGCGTTAATAGGCAGTACAAAGTTCCACACCTCTGGTGAAGACCCCTCCAGATATAGGTGCCCTAAACTCCAGAGCACAAGGCTACTGTTAAAGTTAAAGGGTGTTTAGTATTTTAATTGTTTACTTTAAGGCATCACTGTAATTTTCTTATCCCAATATACATATATATAAGAAAGGTGGTGTACACACTCTACAACCATCAGATTACGTTCTCTGATTTCTCCTCCTCCTCCTCCTCCTCCTCCTTTTTCCACTTCTCCTCTCTAGCCCTAGACACAAATTCTCCTCATGAGTTCTAACTGCTACCTAAGATTGGACATAGGGCTGTAAATGAACCAAATGTTCGACAAACAGCTCGAGTTCGACTCGTTAAGAGCTCGGTTCGTGTTCGTTTGTTTAATAACCGAACCAATCTCAAATA